AAATGGATGGCAAAACAGGGGGTTGCTGGAATAATAAGAGGAGATACTGTGCTTCGATAAGGATATGATGTTGTGGAGAATAATAATAATAATAATAATAATAATAATAATTCCCTTCCATGTCTACATATGGATATGCCTTATCCTACAGACGAAATGTTACGGGAGTTTAACCACGATATCGCTCTACTTAGACGAGTTACTTTCCTTAGTTTCATCAGTTCAGGCCTTTACAACTAGGAGCAACGAACATTCAGGTCTGTATACGAAATTAAATAAATAGACCATTTAATAAATACATGGAGCGTCTATTTAGATACGAGTATCCACTAAAAATAAAGTTTAAAGTGATAAAAATCTGTTGGATTAATAAAAAATATTTTTTAAAAACTTTACGCTTGGATATGAAACTACAGATACGAAAAATTTTTTGAGAGATCTATGACGAGAAAGTTTCGCTTAATTCATGTCTTCTTTTTTCAGCTCAATTTATTAGAGCGTATCATATATATATATATATATATATATATATATATATATATATATATATATATATATATATATAAAGAAAAATAAAATAAAAGGCTCAAACACTAATATTTCAGGGTTATAATTTATTACATTGGAATCGTAATTACGATCCAATTCATCAGACCTACAAATTCAAAAAAGGTAAAGTGTAATAAATTATAAAAGTAAAAAAAAAACTAATAAATTATAAAAGTAATAAATTATAACTATGGGATATTAGTGCTTGAGCTTTTTATATTATATTCTTACTCTGTCCTGGACATTGAGCTCTACCTGGATTCTACACAATTAGGAATTTATATATATATATATTAACCACTAATATTATCAATATATTTGAAGAAATATAGTTTTAAGTTATGCTATATTTATAGGATAAAAGTGCTCTATATCAGAGATAGAGCTTATGCAAATATATATATATATATATTTACATACATATATATATATATATATATATATATATATATATATATATATATATATATATATATATATAGGGGTGACCCAAAAAACGGGAATTTTTTAAGTGCCAAACATGAGCAAGTGGAAAGACTGCAAGACAGTGACCTAGAGCAAGTAAAACATTTCGCCATTTAGAATTAAGATGAAATTACAGTATCTCAGCTGAGATGTTGCATCAGTCAATGAGGAATATCAACAGCAGATTTCAAGAATGCATGCACAAGAGGACGCCATCTACAGGACGTAATTTAAAAAAATGAAAATTCCATCATTGTTTCCTTAAATGGCATGTTTTAAGGTTTCAATTACTATGAATAAAATATTTTTTTCTTCAACCACTTTGGTTTTATTAGATTGTTAAAAAAGTTCTAATTATATATATATATATATATATATATATATATATATATATATATATATATATATATATATATATATATATATATATATATATATATATATATATCATTTTCACTGTTAAAAAAAAACATCTACATTCTTTGGCAAGTTCCACTTAGACAACTTCTTCCCTAGAATTGTTACTTTGTGAAAGAAACTCACACGAGAATGCTTCCCTGACAATTATGACTTTGGTCTCTTTAATTCCACGATCAACCAATATCTATCCTTCTCACTCCAATAATTCTCTCTAAATTCCCCATTCCTTCAGACAATTTCATTCAGTGACTTTCTACCTTGAGTAGTTCTTAGGCGTCTATTGGGTTTTTGATTGATTCATTTTTTATGGCTAATCAACCATTTTGTAACCAGAAACTTTTAGATTATAAGAACCTTTTGGAGATATTAATTATTTACTAATACAATTCCTATTAATTAACCCATAGATGGGAGGATAAGAAGTGGATTCAAAACTTTCCCCAATAGTATTTTTACATAAGTTGATATAACGACTCTGACTGTAATTCGAACTCAGCTCTACAATTTTCAATTCCGAGCCCTTATCAATTGAACCAGCCGCACATCCAAGCTTACAGAACCACGTACTGCCAAGCGGTCACCCATCTAAGTGATGACCAAGCTCGACGCAGCTTAACTTGTGATCATAAGGAAACCGTTGTTTTAACGTGATATGGCCGTAAGGTCTTGTAATGCGTGAACTAACTGTGATTTTCTAAGCGTGGCTTAGATGTGGCACAAGGCCGAAAGTATGGGGTACCTAGTAAGGATCGAACTCACTAGTCAGTCGTAATTGTTCTAGCAAGACAAGCTCGTTAACCATTACACAACGCCGAGGAAAATATATGTTGTCATCTCGTAAATGTACAAGGATTCTCATGGAGATTCTTTGCTTTCTCTTTTAGAGACCGTCGAAAAGGTTGCAAAGTTTCTCAGTGATTATATGGCGGACAGACGTTTTGTTAATTCGTTTCAGAATTCTTTCTTCTCTTTTCTTTTACCTTCTCGAATGTTGCTTTATTGGCATTCGCCGCCCAATTCTCCTCCCCAAAGAAGGCGGGAAAAATGACTGGATTAAACACGGATGCCTGGACATATTTGTATAAAGCGAGTTTAAAACAAACATCATCTGCAAATAGGAATGTATGGAAATCCCCCGGGTTTATTCGCCTTCTGCTCTCACTCTATCTCAATGCCCCTGCGAAAACACACACACATGTATATATACATGTATACATAAAATTGTATACACACACACACACACGCACACACACACACACACATATACATATATATATATATACACACACAGGGCATACATATATATATATATATATATATATATATATATATATATATATATATATATATATATGCATGCAAAACACCCACATATATATACTTATATCTATCTATCTGTATATATATATATATATATATATATATATACACTAATAAACTCATAAATATATATACACACACAGAGGCAGCATACATCTATATATATATATATATATATATATATATATATATATATATATATACTATATATAAATATTATATATATAAACTAATAAACTTAAAATGTAAGCAGCTATACCTGTCCGCAAAAAACCTTAGGTGTTTTAACTTGAGAAATGAACAAAACCAATACCCAAGGGGGAAAAAAAGTGTAAAACAAGAAAGAACTAAGAGCATGGACTTCCGTCTAGAATCTAAGTTCAGAGTCCAAAGAAAAAAAAAAAAAACCCTCCGACATGAGTAAAATAAAAATAACTAAGCAAAGTGCTCAATACGCTAAGTAAAGCAAAATAAGTAAATAAACCTAAAGAGCCAGACTAATCTACCTAGGTTTCATCTACGCGGAAACCTAGGTAGGTTAGTCTGGCTTTTAGGTTTATTTACTTATATATATATATATATATATATATATATATATATATATATGTAGACACATATATTTCATGAACACACATGCACACACACACAAATACATATATATTTAAACATATATTGTTAATATAACGGTCAATGAATGTCTATTGTATTTTAAGCTAGTCACAACAAATAATTCTAGACACATGTTTCTGTTGTTAATATTTCAGTCTCTTATGTTGTATGACATCATAGAAGTGCATTATGAATTTACGGACTGCGTCTGCTATTCCGCGACTGTTATCATCGCATAGCAATTTTCTATGTAAACACAACAGAATATCATCTTTGATGGTGAATATCTTTGTTTAAATGTCCATATAACCACTCTGAAGATGGACCATAGGATTGGTGTATGCGGAATAAATTCCAATAACCAATTATTTTACAATCTACATTCAAAACCATCACGTGATAAGACACTTGAGGTGTTCAAACGAAATGGCTATTTTTGTAGTGATTTTATAACATATTTATGTTATAATTTTAAATAAATAATATATATATATATATATATATATATATATATATATATATATATATATATATATATATATATATGCACATATAGTGGCGGTGTTAATAAAACAGATATGTACACTCCTGGTCAAAACCTTAAGACCAGTTACAAAGGAGTTATAAAAAAATATAAAATACTGTTACTTTAGATGAAATATGTTTGCGAAACATTTACATTTAATTAGGCAACGTAGTTTGTTAACAAACAAGTGAACATTTTAAGCTTTTAATTGCTTAATTTAAAGAAACATTGAAAAAGTATTTTTTGGTTGGTCATAAAGATAAGACCATGTAAATAAAAACAGAAAATACAGAACAAATAACTCATAATGACAATTTAATATTCAGTATATCCTCTGTTTTTGCGAATTACTTCGAAAATTTGCTTTGGTATACTCATTATTAACTTCTACATGAGGTGCTTGGGATGCTCTCCCAGAATGCATAAACTGCAGCACGAAAAACATCCACAGTTTCAAATTGCGATCTATGTTTATAAACATTCTTTGCAATCCATACCCAAACATTCTCGATTGGGTTTAGATAAAGAGGATTGTGGATGGCTCAAAAGCTGAATTTTATTTTCCATAAAAATCTCCTTTGACCTTCGAGCGTTGTGGATCGTAACATTGTCCTGCTAGAAAACCCAGTTTTCTCCACATAGATGAGGGCCTTCAGTAATTCGCGATGCCTTTCTTGACATGTTAATATAACTAGCAGCTGTTTGAAGACCTTTTACCTCTTGTAACTCAAGAGTTCCATTGTATGAAAATGAATCCCAGACCATAATTGATCCACCTGTACTGTATAGTTGAGAGAATTTCTTTTAGGACATCTTTTACATGCCAGTAACTCTGAAAACCGTCTGTGACATCAACGTTGAATATTTTCTCGTCTGAAAACAACATTTTTTTCCATTTATCCACATCCCAAGTTTGATAATCGGATACAAGCTCCTCCTCCTCCTCCTTCTTCTTCTTCTTCTTCTTCTTCTTCTTCTTCTTCTTCTTCTTCTTCTTCTTCTTTAATGTGCCGTTTAGGCTATTGACGATCATGGCTCTCCACAATTTAGAACAAAAATATTCCAGCAATAATTTAATCGCTTGTTCTTTCTCGCTCTCTTTCTCTCTCACACCCTTGGTATATAAAAGGTATTAACTGGGGTAAAGTAGGTAAGGAGAGGGAGATAGAGAGAGAGAGAGAGAGAGAGAGAGAGAGAAGAGAAGAAAGAAAGAATGTGTGAGAGCATATGTACGTGTGTGTGAGAGAGATAGAGAGGGTGAGTGAGTGAGAAAGAAAGAGCAAAAAGATCTTTTAGAAGTATACGCATTCGGATTTTTAATGAAGTTAACAATGACAATTCTGCTATGACCAATTTCATTTGCAATGGTTCGGTGCGAAAGATCACGTCTTTGAAGTTCAACAATCCTGCCCTGTTCGAACTTTGTTAAAATTTTACCCTTAGCCATTTTAAAAGCTGAAATTTAATGCTGGAAATGAGCTAAGTAGATGTCTGAAGCTATGAGCACACTGACAAGTCCAAAAATTTTTGTTCAGTATTTTTTTTCAAACATGGAAAGCGTATCATATATATATATATATGAAAGAAAAATACAGAAAAAACAAAATTCTGAATATGCATTATTAATGTTAAAATAAAGTCGACGTCGGACGTTTCGGTCTATTTAAGACCATCTTTATGGACATTTTCATTTAAACATAATTAACATTATAACTTATAACAATTTAACACAAAAGACGATGGACATAAGAGCCCAACTAATTCAGACAGATAACTGAAATTTTATACAGATCAGCGTTCTGTTTAAATATGATCACGTAGTCGTCACGTGGGCGATGTTGTTAAGACGTATTCGAAGATGATTTCCAAAAATTAAAATATCAAAAAGTCGAATGAAAATTTTTTATAAACAATTGAAGAAATCTCTTCCGTTGATGTTGGAATACGTAGTGATCAATTGGTTCTTATATCTTCAACAAGCTTGAAAGTCCTTCCCGTTACAATATATATATATATATATATATATATATATGAAGAAATATAGTTTTTAGGCATTTTTTAAGCGTTTCACCCCCATGCAAGACGGGAAGTCACTAGCACGCAAGGGGTTACTGAGAACTGGAGTGAGAGCAAATAGGAGTGATAGAGGAAAGGATGAGAAGTCTAGTGGATAGATCAAGGCAACTGTACATGTTGATTGACATTACATTTGAATAGTTGGAGATTATAGCTATCAGGGAAACAGGAAGGTATATTAAGTCCAAGAGAGATAAGGGAAAGCAGCGAGGGTCACTTATCTGACGGATTTCTGTGAATCGATGGCGAAACGAGGCGCAAAGATTTTAACAAAGAAAAATTGCTAAGAGTTACCCGAGACAGAAAGTTGCGGAGAACCATGATCGTTAAAGTCAGGTAGAAAATAGATGAAGATGCCGACATAGGGACAAATCTTTTTGAAAGCCCAACTGCCAAGGGTAACAATGAGTGTACTCGTTTTTGCGTTTTTTTCTTCTTTAGCAATATTTATGGAAATATACTTCAATATGTTAATGCACTATTAAATATCGTGGCATGACAGGGACGAGACTTCTTTTTGTTGTTAAGGTAGACAGACTTCACATCTACTAATCTGAGTTTAGTTTGACACAAGGCTAAAAGTATGGGAAATTAAATGCGAACAGACCTCACTACTGAGCAATAATGTTCCACTAGAATACTTCATTAACTAAGCCAGAAGTACCGATGCCTAGTTACGCACGGAGCTACAAGGCACCTGGTGAGAAGCGAAATCACTACTCAAAAATAATGCTTAACTAAACTAAGTAGTTAAATATTACCCCAAACAAAGGCGCTTAGTCTGACACAAGGCCACAATTATAGCGCACTCTTTGAGGGTCAAACTAACTGCACTAAAATAATGATTGACTTGATTAGCTAGCTAATCATTAGCCCAACTCAAAGCACATAAGATTGGTTTGACACAAGGCAACAAATATGGGGCTCATAGTGAGGACCGAACTTGCTATTCTGAATTAGTTGACAAGACAAGTTCGGTTGTGAACTGGGACAGAAATTGGCTGCTTAACTTTAATGCCTCAAAAAAAAAAGCTCTCTATTACTCACCACAGAGAACCATACCTGCCACCATTAGAATGTCTGACGCTCAACTCCACGAGAGCTCCTCTTTGCGACTACTCGGTCTTACATTGACTGCTGACCTGAGATGGAACAAATACATTGAGTCAATAGCTTCGTCCACCGCAAGGAAAGTTGGCTGCCTGTGCCGCGGCAGGAAAATTTTCTACCCGGAATCGATCCTTCAGATCTACAAATCAACCATTCGCCCTTGCCTGGTTTATTGTTGCCATATATGGTCTGGTGCCCCTTCTGTTTGTCTCAAGTTTCTTGAAAAGATCCAGAGACGGATATGCTATGCAATTGGCCCTGATCTGGCATCTCTTCTGCAGTCGCTCTCTGACAGACGTGCCGTCGCCTCCCTCTGTCTTTTTTCACAAATACTTTCATGGTAACTGCTCCGATGAACTGCTTTCGCTGGTTCCCAGACTTCATGAATTTAAGCGTTCAACTAGGCTGGCATCTCGCTCTCACCTTTTCACTGCCGAAACTGTTAAATGTAGCCGTCTCTTCTACTCCAATAACTTTATGTCTCGCACTTCTCACCTGTGGAACTCCCTCCCTTCTTCCTGTTTACCTGATAGCTATAATTTCCAACTATTTAAATATAATGTCAGTCGACGTCTCCAGATGCCCTGATCTATCCCCTATCGTTCTCTTCATCCTTTCCTCTCTCACTCCTATTTGCTCTCGCTCCAACTCTCTGTAACCCCTTGCGTGCTAGTGGCTTCCAACCTTACTTGGGGTGAAACGCTTCAAAAAAAAAAATAAAAAAAAAATGAAGACCGATTAGCTTGCTCTTACTGCAAGACAAGTCGCTTAACAATGTTGTTTAGGGAGAAATCTGCGGAGAGAGCTTCCTTCTTCAGTCTTTGACGGTAACATGGCTGCTGTAATCATTTTCAAACTTTTCAACTCATGTGCAAATATACTTGCCTGCATTTTGGAAGACAAGGCGAACCAGTTCGAATTTCTCTGAGGACGAGACGGTCGGGTAAAAGGATCCGGTGTGAAAATTTGAATACAAGAAATAAAGTGATTATCAGATGTGGACAGCGGAATATAGTTTTATTTGCCAAAAATAAACGTCTCGCCCAAATGTTGACCTTTGACCAGATAAGCGCTCCAAATATGCGGAAATTAAATATGCTCTTCGATATCTGATTCCTTGCAATGTGGATTCATTTATTTATATTACTGTGCAAGATGTCGCATAGTAATAGCTTTCTATTACCAGTATAGCTCAGGTTACATTTCAGTTAGTTCTGCTTCCAAATTTCAGATTCATTTTTCTTTTATTAAAACTAGTTCGGTACCTGTCAAATTGATGCACGGATAACCAACCATGATTGAGGAATCGGAGAGCCGGGTTCGAATTTCAGTCGAATCCATTACATTCATTTACGTGCTAATACCCTTGGTAAAGGTATGAATCCTTTTGTTCTCTCTCCAGCTATGGGTAAATAGCAGGATAGACTGGGTTCTATAGCCATGGATGTCAAGTGGTCTACCGCAGAAAGAAATGGCAATCTACAGTAGGAACGAATCTGCCTCGTCAGTCATGTATCGAAAGATACATAATCGCCTAAGCGTATATCACATATGGCACATAACTGACTGACTGATATTCAGACTATTATCATCATCTTTGTTGTTTTCATAACATTTCTGCCGTTATGCTCTCTGGCCTTCCTCATTTTCGGAATTGATCCCTTTATTTAACAAATAATTGAAGGTACGGTGGAGTAATGGATAGCGGCTCGGATTGAGGAATCGGAGAGCCGAGTTCGAATTCCACTCGAATCCATTACGTTCACTTACGTGCTAATACTCTTGGGAAAAATATATGAACCCGCTTCTTCTCCCCACCCCAGCTATGGGTAAAAAAGCACGACAGACCGGGTTCCATAAACTTGGATGGCGAATTTGTCTACTGCAGAATAAAATGGAAACCCATTGTGGGAAAAATCTGCCTCGTCAGTCATGTATCGAAAGATACATGATCGCCAAAGCGTGCATCACACATGGTACATAACTGACTGATCTGTCGAACTGCTGATGGTACGGTATATTTTAAAATTTAACTTGTCTGTCTGTCTAAAATACTTTTATTACAAAATATATTCATCTTAAATACAGATGTGGTCAGTAATTAACTTCGAATTGCCGCGCTTTTCAGCTTATAGATTTTTCCGGTTTCCAGGTGGTTGTTGCCAGACAAAAATTATTTACACTATTTTACAATAAGGGATAATAGCGTAATGGATTAAGTCGTTGGGTCGTGTATTTGGTGACATAGTGATTTGTCTGGCAGCGTGTACTTGAACACAATGGAAACAAGTGAGCAGTAATAAATAAAAAACTAGATGAGATGTCCCTTGACATGGGTAGTGGAACGAGAAAAGTCTACCCACATAGATCAAATAAAGGTTTCAGTTTGGAACTCCTGTAGGTTACAGTCAACAATACACAAACGAGGAAGACCGGAGTACACAACGGTCAAAACATTGGGATAACAATAACAATAGTCCGTATATAAATAGTGTTAACCAGCCGTCAGCAACCTACAGCATGCGTGCCACGTGTGGCACGTCAAGCAATTTCAAATGGCAGGCAGTCGAAATTGAGATCACTGCTACAACGCAAAGAACATGTTTAACTATTTCAATTTTAATACTAAAGTATATCTACTATAGGTATTTACTTGACCCCCACAAGGTCAAGATGTGACACAAGGTTGTTTAACATGGGAGACCCGAGTGTTTCCACTCAAAAGCCACTGGTCAAAATTGGTCAAAGCATGTTCAAGCTGGTCAGAGCCTAGTCAAAGCTGGTCATGACTTGTCCTAGCAAATCCAGGCCGGAGCCAGTCCAAGCTAGTCGAAGCCGTGATCGAATCTCAGCCATAGGCCAAGAAACGATCCAATATTTGTCAAAACCCCCAGCATAACGCCAGGTAAGTATAGGTATTTACTTGACTCCCACAAGGTCAAGATGTGACACAAGGTCGTTTAACGTGGGAGACCAGAGTGTTTCCACTCAAAGGCCAATGGTCCAAAATTGGTCAAAGCATGTCCAAGCTGGTCAGAGCTTAGTCAAAGCTGGTCATGACTTGTCCTTGCAAGTCCAGGCCGGAGCCAGTCCAAGCTAGTCAAAGCCTTGATCGAATCTTAGCCATAGGCCAAGAAACGATCCAATATTTGTCAAAACCCCCAGCATAACGCCAGGTAAGTATATAGGTATATAGTATATCTACTATATATTACTATATAAAATATATTCTAGAACACGTATATTGACCTTGACTTGTATAAAAATACTGAAAACTTAATGATTTTAAAGCCCTAAGTCGGTACATAGTTAGCAATAGGTTGCCGACCCCTGGTATAAATAACGATAACTCCTCATCACAGAAATAGACAGAGACAGGTATATTGTTTATCTATCCAAAATACCATATTTATCCGAAAATATATTCACTTCAAATATCGAAGAAGTTCGTATTTAACCTCAAAGTGCTGTACATTTCAGCTTATAGGCTTTTCTGCCTAAAAGACAAAAAGGGGAGATTACTCCTCACGACATAGAATTTTGTGCGTGTACGTTTGCGCGTGCGCATGTATATTTAAATTCAAACAGAGATCTAAAAATGTTAACACTAATGTAGGAATAATAGACAAGAGAAGAAGGGCCATCAACCAGCTAAGAAGAAGCACAACCGAAATCAGAGAAAACAGAATTTAACCGTCGTGAATATTGGAAAGAGATTCAAATTGTCCAT